TGAAGCTGCTCAAACCGTACAAGGAAACTCAACATATCTCCAATTTAACCCCTCAAGTGTAGCGCTGTATCCTGGCATGCTGTCCTTTTAACTTTCCAAGAATTGGACGGTGTCTCACCAGTCAGTCAAAAATTTCACCAGTCAGCAGCCTTGCAAGGACTATAGCCTTGCAATTTATGTTAAAAAAATTTGGGGACAGATAGAGCTTTTTTTTGTGACCCCACGGGGGGTTATTTTTTTTAACTATTTAATGAAAAAAGTACCATAAATGTAAAAAAATAAAAAAAGTTTCCCTACGTTATGTTATAAAACATTTATTCTTACCCATATTTTTAGTAAAACATAAAAGTCGGGGTCACGTCGGGTAAATAGACAACAAACATGTCAAGCCTTAAAATTGCGTGCGCCCGCAAAATCACAAAAAACGCCCATAGGCGACGATTAAAATGCTTTTACTGCTCATCAGTTTAGTGTTATCAGTGATTAATTGTTCTAAAATTATTGCTCTCACTCCGACGTTTGCTGCGATATGTAACATGTGCGGCACAATAGGCGCAATCTTCATTTTTGCACGTAGGCGCACCCGACGCATATCTGCGTGTGTATGTGGGGGGCAGGGACTTTAAAAAAATGTTTTATTTTTAATTTTTTTCATGCTGCTTTATTTTTTTTATGATTTTTTAATTTTTGTATTACTTTTTTTTTTTTTTTTACACACAACTTTATTGCTATTACATGGGGGGCTAAGAAGCTCCCTATGGGATAGCCAATTTACATGACAGGTCCTCTTTATGGAGACATCAGGGGTCTCCAAGACCCCTAATGTCACCTAGGGACCCCCAGAGAAGCTGATGAAGCACAGATCTGCTTCATCAGCTTCTCTAGCTGGAGAGTGACACTGAATGCAGGAAGTGATGTAATATACATCACTTCCTGCATTCGGGGACTGAGAGGAGATCAAAGGGAATTTGTATACTGAACTCCCTTTGATCTCCTGTCACAGAGCCGTGCCGGTCCTGGCCGCATCGGGCACAGCGGATCACGGGACCGGCAACGGCAGTGACAGCTGCTAATACAAGCGATGGAGCGTCTCTAGAGACGCTCGATCGCTTGACTGTGTTACGCTCCCGGCCGGGCCTTGTAATTACAACGGCAGGCCGGGAAGCTGCTTGTCGGGCTCCACCGTCCTCTCGTAGTGGACGAGTGCATTTTTCAAGCCCTGTGTATGTATGTATATGTGTGTGTATGTGTATATATGTATATATATATAACATTTGTAATTCGGTTCTACTTTTGTGATCCTGGCACTCCTGCCAGACAGCACAGCTATGTCCTGCATTAGACTTGTTTTTGCTCCTAAGCCTGTGATTGAACAATCACTGAGCCGTGGTGCACAGAGGTGATTATCACTGTTTTGCACTCTCAAGAAGCTTCCAGTCCCAGTGCTGCCATACAGAGAATTACAGAGGGAATTACAAGAGATATTCAGGTGCTTATGCTAGTTGTTTATAAATTACATTTAATGATCTCTTTTTAAGCATCTGTAACCAGATTAAATGTTGTCTTTTTTATATCTGCCTGGAGTTTAGCCATAAACAAGGAATCTGGCTACTGTGAGCAGTTTTCTTTTCTCCGTCCCCTTTGGGCATACAATTTACGGACATAGCTCTAACATCTAACAATCCCTTGATTCTGCTGTAGAAGAAAATCAGTCCCGTGTAACTAAGTGGAGCTAATCTTCTCCATTCTGAAACTTGGCAATGAACCTAGCAGTGGGCAATCATTTTCAAACAATCTAGGCTACGTTTTATTTTGGTGGTTAAAGTTAAAAAACTTCTCATCAAACATTATGATCCAATTTAAATATAGTCTGTATTAGAAGTTATTTTGCGGTGGAAGCACAATAAGCCTAGGTGGTTTGGGATTAGTGGTCTTGCGAGTTCCGGAGCTTGTAAAAAGGAGAAACGACTGATTTGAAAAAATTGCCCAACAATATCAGCCACATTAAATTAATACTTCCTTTTTTATGTGCTCTTTATTTTGTATGACTTTTTTACCTTGCTACAAAGAAAACTTCTTCAGTATATTTAAGACATGGCTATATTTTGAAAGCTTCTTTTGGGCTTATTATAGGAGTTGTAAAGCCCCTAGCATATACTACCCTGTTACAACATCAGCATTGTAATAGGAATACATACTACAATTCTTTTTGAGACTACAATCAAAGCTTACTTTAAAATAATCTCTTTTATGTAGTGAGTTTTGCCTTCTGTCTGCCCATCACTTCCAACAACTTCTTGGATTCCCAGTGTGCTCTGTATCTCTTTTCCTGCTGCTTGATGTGACGCAATCTTGATTTCCCAAGACTACATATCCCATAATGCATAGCTTCCAGCAAGCAATGATCATGTTACATTGTTCAGATGTTGATTTCAGATGTTGTTGTGACTCAAGGAAGTGCATATTCACAGGGATGAGTGGAATTGTGTCAATGCATTGAGTAAGTACATCCTATGGGCATCTTCAATAAGTAACTTACAAACGTCTAGGTCAATATGGTTATTAGGAGTGGGATAGAACTTATGGAAACTCAATATATAAATACATATTTATTTTTAGCTTTTGAGCATAGATACCCTTTAGTAGGGAAACCGAAGATATTCTAGCTGTCATTTCTTTGGTGCAGATTAGTCAGTATAACCTTCTATCTTCTTTAAAGCCAAATTGAACCCTCTTGATTTATACTGTAAGGAAGCCAAGCTCCATATACATTAATACATTTTCTAACTTCTTAACATTTTTTAGAGACAAGTGCTGCAGCAATGGTTGTAATACTAAGTGCTGGCAGCAAATACGACAGTTGGACCGCTGCTCTCATCCCCAAAGCATTGGATAGGCTCCCCAACGGCCTGACACTTCCCCAATTCCTGCACATTGCTATAATCAACAGCGCTACTCAGAGAGTGAGCAGTGTTTGTTTAGGTAGAGACAGTGTTAATTCCAACTAGGAACACCCACCCCTTTGACTGACCGCTCCAGCCTAGCACACTGATTTAACAATCTGGTGATTCCAATAACTCCTCTAAAAGATAGCCCACTGCATACAACAGGGCTAAGGGCTCTTGGGAGATGTACTCTCTATTGATGGGCAACTGTGAAATGATTGAGATAATCACTTGCACTTGATGGGGTTCAGCTGTAAGGCACACTTAAAAAGTGGCAAACTACACTCTTTGTTTAATGTGGAAGAGCTTTTTAATAAGAAAGAAGTAGTTACTTTATAGTTCATGGCACTTTCGAAATTTGTTCACCTTGAACTTCCTCTTATACACACTGAATAATAATCCTTTTATGACCCTATTGCGCCATTTATATAAGAGGATAGTTGTCACATTTTATAAGCCTGTGACATCACTGGTAAAGTAACGCTTGATCCTTTAATTAAGTAGTACTGAAGACATGGTACCTTTCTGTGAGTTCCGAACTTCCTGGTTGTGGGAGAGGGTACTGAGGGCAGAGGAGCGATTGGCTCCTTCTGCCATTAGTCAGTCTGTTGGGAGGAGTGGGAGGGCATGGCTTGCCGCACGTTGTGTGTGTCTATGGACACACAGCTGTGTGTAATCAAAAGGAAATGATTGAGGGATAGGAGTTAAAATGCATGAACCGAGTGCATTTACAAAGTGCATGGCATCATTGGGTGAGCATGAGCCATAACTATACTGACTGCCATTCTCTAAGAGATATTGGGGGGAATTTATCAAAACTGGATCAGGCAGAAACTGGAGCAGCTGCCCATGGCAACCAATCAGCTTCTATCTTCAGTTTGGTCAGTTAAGATTTAAAATGAAAAATTGTGCAGCCAAGAACCCCTAACTTTGACTAACAACGGGACGTTCAATATAACAGTGATAAATACAAAGAGTAAAGCACATTTTAGAGCAGGGCTAGGCTGGGAAAGGGTCGGCCTTGCTGTGTGAGAGTACTGACCAAAATTACACCCAGTGAAGAAATATCTTCATCTGTATTTGTGCCAGTAAAACGCGTGGAGACGAAGCCTAAAGTGTATGTAGTTTTTCAACAAGTATTTGCTTATGATGTGACTCATAAAGTAACTTCTAGATATGACCTATTTATTGCATTGCAAATTATTTAAAAATGGGGCAAAAACAGGAAGCTGTATTTATTAACTGAGGGCACACAGCATAAAACCCTGAGGACAGGCAAGTAGTGTTCGGATTCCTCAAAAGCTATTTGAGCGCCATATCTGCAGTACAAAATCTATTGAGGGGAATTTATCAAAACTGGAGCAGACAAAATCTGGAGTAGCTGTGCACGGCAACCAATCGGCTTCTCTCTTTCATTTTCAAATCTTAACTGAACAAATTGAAGAGAGAAGCTGATTGGTGGCCATACACAGCTGCTCCAGATTTTGTCTGCCCCATTTTGATAAATCCCCCCCCATTGTGCTTTGAAAACGACAGTGCATGCACCAAAGAGAACATTCTGTCAAAGACTAAATACATTTAAAAAAACATGAAGGATGTGGAATGAGTCGGAAGAAATTAATAACGGTGTCTTTTAATTAAAAAAAATTATA